AGTAGGAGCCACTGCACATGTAGGCGACCCAATAAAATCCACTAGAGAAGGTCAGGCAGGCACTTGGAAAAACTTGACTAAGGCATGCCCGGAGCCCTTCTGATACTTGAGGGCCTCTCCAGTGGGGCTTTTCTTTCCACTCTGATGAGCCCCAGATTGTCTTCAGGACCCCCATGTGGAGCCCTTTTACTGCTCCCCATAGCCATCCCCCACAGTACAAGTGCAAATGAACACCTGGCTTTGTGTACCTGAGACGGGCTAAGCACAGTGGACAGAGACACTGCTATGCTGACTGCGATTCCCCAGTTCCATCTGGAAAGGCTACCTCACACTGCCTGTTCCATCACTGGACAAGAAGGGGGTTGGATCTGAGATGCTTCTGATTTAATGATAACAAAATAATAAGCATAATACAGGTCAAGTATCCCTAATCTGAAATGCTTGGGTCCAGAAGTATTTCTGAATTTTTTTTTTTTTTTTTTTTGGCATATACATGATGAGATATTTTGGGGATGGGACCCAAGTCTAAATATGAAATTCACTGATGTTCCATATATACCTTACACCATAGTCTAAAGATAAGATTGTACATCTTTAGTGCACCTGTGTTTCAACTGTGACAGTCAGGTAAGAACAAGGTAAGGTGGGCAACTTCCCTCTTATGATGCTGTGTCAGTGCTCAGAGAGCTTCATATTTGGGAGCATTTGGGATTTTCAGATTGAGGATGTTCCTGTTGTTACAATAGTTCTTTCATTAGTTGCTTCCTCTGTGCCACACACACAGTAAGAGGATGCCAAGAGTGAACAGACACGGACCTCGTTCCTGTTCTCATAGGGTGTGGAAGAGACCAAAGGCTAGAAAATCCCACACAAAGGTATGGAGAGATATGCTCTACTAGAAGGGATTAGAGTGCAGTGAGACAGTGTGGGAGGACATACTGAGAAAGTGGAATTTGACCAGGATATGGGGAGTACTAGGAACACAGGGCAGGCAGGAGCATCACTCACTTGACCTGGAGTGTAAGGAAAGAAAGTAAGAAAAACACCACTGAGTTCTTACCACCCTCTGAATCCTCACTATGGGCCTGGAATTGTGTGGATTATTATTTATACAATTCTTGAGCTCTATCAACAACTTTTGACAATTAAAAATTATTATCCTCTACAATTAGAAAAATGTAAATTAAAACTACAACTGAGGTCCCCATCTCAATCTAGTCAGAATAGCAATTATCAAGAATACAAGTAACAATAAACATTGGCAAGGATGTGGGGGAAGGTACTCTCATAAATTGGACTGCAAATTGGTGCAACCGCTATGGAAAGCAGAATAGGAATTACTCAGAAAACCTGAATGGAACCACCATTTGACCCAATTATCTCACTCCTCAGTATATAGCCAAAAGATTTTAAATCAGCATAGTGCAGTAACACAGCCACATTAATGTTTCTTGCAGCACAACTCACAATAGCCAAGCTATGGAACCAACCTAGGTGTCCTTCCACAGATGAATGGATAAAGAAAATATGGTATATATACACAATGAAGTATTACTCAGCCATAAAGAAGAATGACTTTATGACATTTGCCAGTAAATGGATGGATGTGGAGACTACCATGCCAAGTGAAATAAGTCAATCCCAAAAAGACAAAGGCCTAATGCTTTCTTTGATATGTGGAAGCTAACCCACAATAAGGCAGAGGTGGGCAGAACAACAGACATTCTGTAGATTAGACAATGGGGAATGTAGAGAAGGGAAATGGGGTAGGAATAGGAAAGACAATGGAATGAATCTGACATAACTTTCCTATGTACATATATGAAAACAGCACAGTGAATCCCACCATCGTGTACATCCATAAGAATGGAATCCTAACTAGAATTAAGACATACTCCATGCTTGTATAACTATATCAAAATGGATTACGCTGTCATGTATAACTAAAAAGAACTAATACACTTTTTAAAAAATTATCATTCTTGTTTAATAGTGAGTAAACTATTAAAGGCAGCTTCAGAAACATGCCCAAAAAAACAATTACTTAGTAACAGAGAAAGCCAGGGCTATGATACTCCAAGCCTGTGTGTTTAACCACTGGGCAATGATTCATCCAATGGTAGCCACTGGCCCCATTAAAGCTTGTTGTATTGGAATGGATACAACAGGTTCACAAACAAGGAAAATGTACTTATAAAATATTACCCAAAGGATTATACAAGGTGACATGCACCAGTAACTAGATGATTATAGCACATGTAACACTCACAGTCCTGATAGAAGCTCAGACGTAAGCACTCCCAGCTTCTACCACACTACACACACACACACTGCCCAACCAACCACCAAAGTTCAGTAAAGCAGGAGTGGACATATTTGACCCAGAAAAGCTGATTCACAGGCTGCCAGAGCCTTTAAGATGGCCCAGCCTGAAGAGTTCCACCTAAACAGGTAGAGGATTGACCATAATTACACTCTCCAGGGCTGGGGTGGTGGCTCAGTGATAGAGCACTTGCCTAGCATGTGTGAGGCACTGGGTTCAATTCTCAGCACCACATATAATAAATTTTAAAAAATAAAGGTCCATGAACAACTAAAAAATAAAAGATATATATATTTTAAAACTTATACTCTCCAAAATATGAACTGAGAGAGAGGGAGAAGCTCAAAGTCTTAAGGTAGAGAGAATACAGATGGCAAAAATTAGGAAAAATCTAGTAATGCAATTCATCACATTACAATTTTATAACAGAATAAACTCCTTGGTTTATACCCACAGGACTTAAAATCTGCATACTATAGTGACACAGCCACATCAATGTGTACAGCAGCTTAATTCACAATAGCCAAACTATGGAACAAATCTAAGTGCCCTACAACAGATGAAGAGATAAAGAAAATGTGATAGATTATCATACAATATATACATACACATACACACACACACACACACACACACAAGGGAATATTACTCAGCCATCAAGAAATTATGAAATTATGGCATTTGCCAGTAAATAGATAGTAAATGGAATCAGCTGTAACTAACCTATCCTTATACATGAAATACCAGTGTAACTCCACATCATGTACAACCACAAGAATTGGATCCTAATTAGAATAAATTATACTCCATGTATGTATAATATGTCAAAGTACATTCCACTGTCATATATATCTAAAAAGAACAAATTTTTTAAAAGCTATCAATTATCTCAATAGATGTAGAAAAGGCATTTGATAAAATTCAAAGCTCCAAATCACACAGGTGACAAAATTATATAGAACTCAACACAATACACACACATGCACACAAGAAATCTGAGAGCTGGGCACAGTGGCACATTACATTACATGTCTGTAATCCCAGCAACATGGGATGCTAAGGCAGGAGGATAATAAATTCAAGCCAAGCCTCAGCAACTGGGGGAGACCTTGAGTTAGGGATGTAGCTCAGTAGTAGAGCACCCCTGGCTTCAATTCCAAGAAGGAAGGAGAGAAATCTGAGTATGACCAATGCTTTGCATCAGTGTCAATATTCTGTTGTGAGCTTATAAATAATTTTCCAAATTCCAAAATGTTACTCTTGGGAAAAACTGGGCAATATACGCAAGGCATTTCTCTGTATTGCATATTCTTTTTTTCTTTTTCTTTTTCTTTTTTTTTTTTAGGACCAGGGATTGAACGCAGGGCACTTGACCACTGAGCCACATCACCAGTCCTTTTGGATTTTATTTAGACACAGGGTCTCACTGAGTTGCTTAGCTCCTCACTTCTGCTGAGGCTGGCTCACTATCCTCCTTCCTATCTTGGCCTCCCAAGCTGCTGGGATCACAGGCGTAAACCACCATGCCCGGCTGTTAAGCAAATTTTTATAAAGACAGGTATGATCTTATAACAGTAACTGTTTATAACAGAGGCACTATTTATTAAGTTCCAACTTTTTGACAGAGATAGTGCTAAAAGCATCAAACCAATTATCTGCATTTTCCCAGCAGTGAGGTGTCAGTTTGGATCTAGGAGACTGAGTAATTTGTCCAAGGTCACACAACATGCAGAAGTGTGAGATACAGGCTGAGTGTAGTTCTGTCTGATGCCAATACCAGCACACTGTCATATTTCAACAAAGACTCTGGGAGATGACCTGTTTGGAAGTGACCATCTCTTGTAAAGTTGGTCCTGATCCAACTTGGGCAGGGACTATCCAAGCCATACATCGATCATTAAGGAGGCTTCTGTTTTGGATAGTGTAGAGTAAGCAGTTTTGAAAACCAGCACACCTACTCAGCCAGCCCAAGGGCCCACTGTTCTTCCTGCTCTGAGAAAGGATTTGCCATGGTGATACCACAGACGCCTCAGACACATGGTAAAACAAAGACACCCAGGAAGGTGTAGCTGGCTGCCTTCTGCAGTTAAGCAGTTCCCCTGCTTAATCCTTAGTCCTGGCTAAGCTTCTGACTTCAGTCCATTCTTAGAAAATGCAATAGTAACAACAGCACTTCAGGATTGGGAAGCCTAAAAAAGCAGCAGCTTGCAGCAGAAGGGAGCAAGGGCACTGTCTACAAGAAAGAGAAGCAGCCGACCATAAAGCAGAGACAGATTGCCAAAAGAGATTTCCAAATCCAAAAATAACTTCTGCCACCATGCTTTGGAGAAATCAGGCATGCAGAACCTGGGTGCTCCTTTGGTCATCTTTTCCTGATCCCTTCTAGCTGAATAGGTGATGGACGTCTGCAGACATTCTGCTCAGCATTAAGACCCCCATAAAAAGGCAATTTTCCTTCCAGAAAAAGTATAAGTGAAGGGCAGAGATGATAGAGGTGTGGTGGGGGAAGGAGGGAGGAAAATTGGCCGGGGGGGGGAAAAAAACACAGAGACAGTGACATTCAGACCTGAACTCGGAATTTCTGAATGGTTCAGAATGGGACACTTTGTCACCTTTGACTTAATTATAAGACTGTTTTCAGAATGCTGAAGGGCTAGGCTCATAATCAAGCACTTACGTAATCCTCCTCATTGAGCCCTTGTTTCTCAACAGAACTTTTCACCTCCATGGAAAACTTCTCAAACTCAGGTTTCACGGTCCTCAGTAGAGTGACTGTTTGGAGGGATGAGTATGCTTGCTTAGCCTCAAAGTCGTGTTTGTCTCCTCTCTTCCATGAGCCATCTCCTACGGGAGAAATAAAAATATTTATAATTCCAGGCCAGTCACCATAAAGAGGCCATTCTCTCTTTTCAACCGCAATGTGTCCTACATGTTACTTTTGGCAGCCAGGGCAAAAGGCATTGTCATAGTTTTACACTTGGGTATAATGTGACAATGTCGAGATCATTAAAGGAGAACAAGGCTCTTGGGACACATGTTCCTTTGAAATGTGAGAGAGAAAGAAAAGCCCTGTTGATGTAATTGCCTTATAATAACCATGTAACTGCAATTTTCAGCGCACCCCACACCCTGTGGAATTGCAGAACTACAAGAGCAAGAAGTAAGTAAGCCTTTGTTCCTTTCCATTCATACTTATTTTTCAAGACCTAAAATCAACCAAGGAGGTGAACCAAGTTTTTGCATTACACAAGTAATAGCATGCAACAGCAGATTATAGCCACGCACAACAATGGATATGCATGAGTATTATAAATTTGGAACTGTTTAAAAAAAAAGAATTTGCATCTCTCTGGGGTAAAAAGTAACTTAGGTAAATTTGAGGATTTGTATCTCTCTCATTTATTGGACAATATCCATCAATATATTGATGATAATAAATAAATGTATTGAGTACATATGTAATAATAATAAAGGCTTTTTTATTGAGCATTTTGTATAAACTCATGAGATGCTCTAATGGGAGTACTATCATCCTTTCTATTTTACAGATGAGGAAACTGAGGCAGAGACATTGAAGAGCTGGCTGCTTCACAGCTCTGCCTTTCACCAAAACAAAGGTAAGTTACATGGAGAAAAATCATTATTCTATTTATTTCATTTTTGAGAAACATGTGGCTTGTGGGGTCCTAAAAGGCAACAGAGACACCCAGATTTTTGACAATTTTTCCCTTTGAATTATGATTATAATTCCTGGAGATCTCTGAAAATACAAGGAACACAACCTGTTGAAGTTCCAACACAAGTAATCTGTGCACCTCAAGCTCCCAGTACACAGGAAATGCCTGAAGCTCAACAGCCAAGCAGCAAGGATGTCTCTAGAATAAGGGGCCATGTCTACGGTGCTCACTGTACTCTTCCAGAAGTTCAATAAAGACCTGGTGGCTCTTGAATTTCTATCACAGCCTAAACCGAAGATATCTAAACTATGTACATGTTATATGCAAGAAACTGACAGCCATGGTGGGCATCATAAATGTCTTGAATAGTCTCCATCAAATTCAAGAGCAATTTAGCACCTGGTATGTAAACAACTAAAGTTATTAAAGGGTAGAACTAACAGTTTACTATGCCAGGGAGGGGAGGAGAGCTGGGGGAGAGGAAACAGAGCAGAATATAGATGAACAGGCAATGTGCTCCAAACAGGGGGAAGTTTTCATGCGAGAAGCCTCGTCCTAAATGTGAGAATAGGATTTTAATAGGAGGAGAGAAGGGTGGAAAGGCAGGCTTGGCAGAGTCTACAACACGGGCAAAGGTGCAAATGTGTATGACATCCAGTGGGCAGCTGGGAACCTCAGTCTGGAGCAAGAGAAAAAGCAGAGACAAAGAATGTGTTTGTGGAGGCATCAGTATAATCACAATCCTAATAATAGCAACCATTTATTAATTGCTTACCATGTGCCAGGGAGCTGCTAAAAGATAAATAAGACAGAGCCGAGGACATAATTCATTAAGGAGTAGATCCATGCATGCTCAATGAGCAGTAGATTAAATTTCAAGCTACCAAACCCAACTTGACAAAGTCCTCCTCCTCTGCTCTGAATCCTCCCAAACCCAGAAGAGGCTACAGTCTGAGCAAAGGCAAGCCTGTTCTCAGGGAGCTGGTGAGTCCAGCTTCACCATCACCAGGCTGGGTAAACCCAGCAGGGTGCCCAAGCCCCAAAACACAAATGTGGTGGTGTTGGCTAAGGTCCAAATCCATTGGCCAGAAAGACGCCAAATTCAAGAATGCCTAGGAAATTTTCATCCCATGAAGGAACCCATTTCTTACAGACCTGCAATAAACACTTATTGATTCATTTTTAATTGACTCGAGGCCTCGAGACTCCACAGAAGTGAAATTTCTTAGAGTTTCTCAGTTCAGGGAAAGAATTCTCTCCATGGGCACATGAAGGAGAACACTCAGCTCCATGGGGCTTTATACTATATAATCAGAAAATACGGTAGAACTAGAAACAGCAACTATCTCAGTTACAGAAATGGGAAAAAAAAAAAAACATATTTTGGGGGAAAGAATTGAAATCCAGGCCAATAAATCTGTCTACCACAGTCTAACAGGTAATAATTTTGGAGTTTTGTTTTCTTGAAGAAAGAATGAAAACAATAGTGCTTCATGGATTGAAGCCAAGTGAAATAAGTAACCACTCACAACCTGCAAGTCCTGCTCCTGTGGGCATTTCTTAGTGCCATGTGTCCCATATCAGCGCTGTTGAAAACTAGGAAAGCAAAGGTCAGGTTGGCATGACACCCCATCAGTGGAGACAAATTTAATTCAGTAGACAACTGGGTGCCTCGGAGATTTATGGGCGGAACAGAAGAGTGACATGATGAGAATCATGCCTTGGGAAATAGCGGTGGATTAGAGTGGGGAGACGCTGAGCATTCACAGCCACAGTGATGCAGGCAAGAGGTTGTGAGAGGTCACATGGGGGAAGTCACAACCAAAAAATAAAAAATGGCACTCTGGTTGCTGAGGCTTATGACATACTTTCATTCTTTTGATTTCTTACATTTTTTTTCTCAATGCATTAAGTTTGCAACAATAAACATTTAGGACTACTTTTTGTCATCCTAAAAAAAAGATAGTACTCTTGAGAATGAAAGTAGAGGGCTGTGCCAGAGGAATTCCAAAACTCCACAACAGTCAGAGAGGAAGAGATGCCAGAGAGGGAGGATGCTAAGGAGAAGAGGAAATCAGGTGATCATTAGAAGAAAGAGCGGAGTCACGGGGAGGGAGGTGAGCAACAGGCGTGGATGGATGGCTTCAGTTCAGTTCCAAGGTGACCACAGAATGTCCAAGTAACACCACCAGGCTGGGTTGGAAACAGTGGTGTGGGGTAAAAAGACCTGGGCGTCATTTCCACAGAGCGTCATTTCCACTGTTAGAGCTCAGGAGCTACCTCCCCTGGAGAAGGGAGTATAAGAAGAGAGGGGGAAGGGTTAAGCACAAACACTTTGGGGAGGCTATTTTTAGAGGGCAGGAGGAGTAAGAAGAGACAGAGAGTAGCTAACAGAACCAGAAGAATGCTGTGTCATCAAAGCTAGGAGCATAGGATTTCCAGAAACAGGTGGATGGAAACAATATTGGATGCTGTAGTGTCATGCTGTCTAACCTAGTAGCCACTAGACACATGTTTAAGTTTAAATTCATTAAAATTAAAAACTCAGTTCATCGATCATACTAGCCACCTTTCAAATGTTCAACAGCCACATATGGCTAGTGGCTACCATATTGAGTGGCATAGAAGAGAACTAGACACCACACAGAAAGTTCCATTGGACAGGACTATTTTGGAAGCATGGAGCACCTTAATTAGTGCCTTCTGAGTTCTTAGAAGGCAGGAAAGCTCTATAATAATTTTAATAATAATGATTTCAAATATCTCAGATAGGATTTCCCAAATAACTTTCTACCTTACATTCTAAGATAATGCCAATGGACAAAAACGCCAATAGATGCTATTAAAACCTCTACAGGATAATATATATATCATCTTCTCTCCAGATTTTTAAACCTATCTTTTAAATCTTGTTTTAAACCATTTGAACTACCCCATAATATATTATGTACTGAATCATAACCATATAATTTGGGCAAATCCGGGAATATTTTGTGAGCGCTCACCAAGACCAATCTAGTAATTAGTAAAAATGGACATACTACCAACATATTTTCTAAAACTCTAATATCAAGTAAATATTGATTAAAACAGAAGGCTTCCTCTAGAACAAGTATAAGGATTCGATGTGAGGAGGCATAGGGAAAGTGGGTTTTGAAGAACTTTTAATAAGCATACATTTTAAAACATAAAATCTCTAGGAAGACCCTTTATTAATGATGTATAACAGAACTTTGGTCTAGGAGAATGTACCCATCTGCTCTTTCTGCTCCAAGAACAAAGAGGACAGTTGCCTTTTTATAAACACTGTCCTTTCTTTCTTACTAAAGGATTCCCAAATTAATTTAGGGTATCAGTGAGTACAAGGAAAAGCATACAATTCCTGAATTCCCTTGCAATCAATGATAGCCAATCTTATGTAACCAAAAGTTAATGAGTGAGGCTTCTAGAAGAGCCCTGAAAGAACCAAGTCAACTGGAAGGATCTCTTTTCACCTTTCTTGTCTTTTCCCTATCTTGTCTAGAATTAAAACATGATTTTTGGTGCCCTAGGCACCATCTTTGATCTTGAAAATGGACACCATGCACTAAGACTGAGGAAACAGGAAGACAAAAGAAGCTTGTACCCTGATGCCATTGTGGATTCTCATCTTCATCTTTGACTTTCTACCTATGGAATTATTTCAAGTGAGATAATAAATCTCCACCTTTGTAATTGAGAGTCTTGGTTTTGTGCATGTAGGTATAATTCCTAATGCGCCCATGTCCTTAGGATACAGTAGATAAAAGTTTGTTGGTTTCATAAGAGAATGTATGGCCGGCCCTAAATTTATCAAGAAACTACAACTAGAGAAACTTAATTATAATTTGACCATGTGTAATGGTCAAAGTGAACTAAGAATAATAATAAATATAACTAACATTTGTTCAAAGTTACATTCCAAAAAGTTTGCTAGGTATTTTACATACACCCTTCATTTATTAGTCAGTCTGATGCCATAAGGCTAATGCTATTACTATCAGAAGAAACTAAGGCTTGTCAAAAGGGCAGGGTTAGTCACTTTGCCAGGGCTAAGAGTTAAGATATTAACCTTTATCTCTTAGAATGAGGAGTCAGTGTCTGGTGTGATGGTGCCCTCCTATAATCCCAGTGACATGGGAGGTTGAG